AAGTCATGAAGTAAATGGAATTCTCCATTTTGTCAATCACCATACTTTACAAAAATATACTTCTTAATGACTCAAGGTAATTTCTTACCTAAATAACTTGGTATAAATCCTTATAGTGTAGTCATATATTTATCTTAAATAATATAATCTAATCCAAATAATTAAATCATCATTTTTATGATTGATGAGATAAAATTAACCTTTGAGTAGTCCTTTAAAATATGAACACATCTTTCTATATATTTATCATTTCTTAGACTCTAAGTTTCACCAAGTGAGAGCATGTGAATATATTTAAAATTTGTATATGGTTATATTTATTAAAAGTGAACAAAAGTCTAATGCTTTTTAAACACTTATTTACCTTCTAAGCATATATAATATTATCTTAATAAGATATTAGCAACTTGACTTCTATCTTGATGGGAGTTGGTTTAAATAGTTAATTATTATAATAATCATCATTTCTAGAAAGTATATCGTATGTACCATCATCATACTACTTAATAAAAACTAAGAGATTGCTATAATTAGCAGTAATAATATTTTTTAATTTTTTGAGAGTTTATATTATTAAGATGATCATCTGCACAATAGGTTAAGGGCCTTAAGGCACTAAACTATTTAATTTCATATACTTGCAAGCATTTTCAAACTTCATGATTATGATATGGTAGTTTATTCATGTGTAGCTATCAACCCTTTAGCCTTAATAAAGATTTGGGAAGTTGAAATTGTTTTAATCATTATAAAAAAGAAATTTTCACTTCCTCTAGGTTGGATCTATGCTTATTCGTATCCAACAAGAGTGAATAGTTTCTTAATTTTTAGATGAGTAGAAGTGCAAGCAAAGGGTATGAGCTTGACATAAATGTAGAGTTTAATAACAAAAAAAGGGAATGTAGTTCTAAAATAAATCTCTATTGAAAATTAAAGTTGAATTTCAAACACATAGCTCTCATTATGATCATAATTCCTCCTAATTAGTGAAGGATAATACATAAAAAAAATCTATTCTCCATTATGTAATTTCAAACACAGCTCTCATTATGATAATAATTCCTCCTAATTAGTGAAGGATAAAACATAGAAAAATCTATCCTCTATTTTGTCATTATCAAAAATGTCAATTTTTCAGAGCATTTGATGGAAAATATAGAGTTGTTTCCCTAGTGGTTTAAACCATTTTTTAAGCAGTGGTTTAAGGATTCATTTGGTATGGTTGCAATTTTTTATAAAAGTGATTTTAAAGTTGCTATTGAGAAAGTAACTTTTTTAAAAGTTGTTATAGAAAATAACTTCCTAGCACAAATATTTTTTGAAAATAGTGAGAAGCAAACTATATAGAAATTGTGGTTCTGGTTTTAAAAAACAAAATAGTAAAAAACCATCTCAAACAAGCCTAAATCACACCTATAACCACTTATATACAGACCCTAATCTATTGATTCATTATACTGGCTATCGTAAAATCGCTAGGCTTCTACTATAATGGATTTACCACCTTTTTGAGTTCCTATTCAAAGCAACTTTTATTGGCATCTTTTCGTGCTGCTTCACAAGTCTATCTCGATCGCTTTTTTTTATAATATATACAAATTTGATTCCTATTGTGTTGATGTGTGAATGTGGGAAATCTTGGTGGAGTGTTTGAATATTGTGTTGATGTGGGAAATCATGGTGGACTAACTATTTCTAATTATTCATTGAATAGATTAAGAAATTTATGTTTATTTCTTGTACTGAACACACTCTAAAGCATGTTAACATGATTAAAAAGTTCTTGAGAATTACATGCATTTTATAGGTGTGGAGAAAAAGTATGTGCCAGTAGCAATTATTTATGGAGCACACGATACTATTGAGAGACATAATAAAATAAGAAAGGATACTGAGAAGAAGATTTTGAAATATTTTTTGTACCTTATTATATTAATTTTTTTAACAACCTTATAAATTGAAATCCTTTGAGAACTCTCCATAACATAAGTTCTCATTATTGTCGATCTTGGATATAGATATGAAGCCATATCTATCACTCCAAATCTTCTAATTGTCGTCCACAACAAGTACTAGATATCTCAGACCAACCCCTATTGGAAACTTTCCAATCTCAAATCTCCTAGCAACAATGCCCCACTCCGATCATTTTGCCAAACTCAAATATGTTGTCCTAAGCCTCCCAACATAATATCCGCTCATCGACTTCTACCGCCCGACAACATTATCTTAACTAAAGATAATGTTGAACCCTTGTTGGAAAACACTCAAACCAAACCTTATTTAAAAGCTTTCCAATCTCAAATCTCCTATCAATGATGCCCATGTCGAACCCCTCATTGATTGCCTTATTTTTACAAAGAAACATAAGTAATTCCATCATGAACTCATGCAAATCCACGTTGATGCTTATTACCCTTCGAGACCACTTCGATCATTTTGCCAAATCAAACACGTTGTCCTAAGCCTCCCAACATAATATAAATAATGAATACATCCACAAGCATACAAAATACAATAATATAAATATAATTTATTTTTAAATTAAAATGATATTAAATACTTTTAATTTATGATTATTGATCACAAATTTGTTCTAAGGGACTCACTAGGCAAATGGAGAGATCTTAGGCGTTCATTGCATTGTTGAGTTAATGAATTAGTAGTATGAGGTAATAATGATTATTGAATTGTGTGTGAACTAAAATAATTTCTTAATTATTGTCAATGGATTAAAGCTACCTCTTATTTTTGAAATGTATAAGAGTTGAATATTCAAATCAAGATAGATCCTTAAATATAACAAAGTAGCTGAAATTTTTTTATAATTTGCTAATCACAGGAAGAGTCGATCAATAAAAGTATTATGCCTCTGTAAATCAAGCATCAATAGAGACTTTCATTCAATGAATGATGTCAAGGATCATATTATATTTAATAGATTCTTTACTAGATACATTATTTAGAATTGACATGGGGATGATCATCATGTTGTCATTAGAGCTACAGGAAATGAAGTAGTTCATAGTTCTTCTGATTTTAAATCTCAAATTGTTCAAATTGAGAAACATGATATAGATGATATTGAAGGATTGTTAAGAAATACAATTGCTTCAATCAATAAAATGATTAACTTAGTAAATTAGCAGCAAAATCTTACTCAAAATTTAATTAATAATGGTGAAAAACTCGGAAAGTTATTATAAGGTGTGGGAGCATAATTATATCTTGGTTGTAAGGTGTTTTCGAAGCTATCATTCATATTGCACCTATTTTTTTTGGAATATCTAAATTCTTGGACTAAATTATCTTTTAATATGTTGTAATAGTTATTGATCGAAGCATTTCCCAAGGGGACTTCATCTCCTAGAACTACATACGAGATTAAAAAATTCATGAAGTCTGTCAATCTTGGTTATATGAAGATACAAATATGCCTTAATGATTGTGCCTTATATTGAGAAGATAAGTCTGATCAAAATGTATGTGAAGCCTTTGAAGCATCAAGAAGAGTTTTTAATCAAAAGAGTAATTTTACACAAGTAAAGAATGCTCAAATGAAATTCACTAATAAAATTGTTCGATATATCTCTTTGATTGCTTCACCATAGAGATTATTGATAACCAAAACATATGTGACCTTTTATCTTATAAATGTTTGGTGTGATGTTTAATTTGTGCAACTTTGAAGGATTGCAAAATTTGTGAGTCTTCAATTACTTGAAATAAAAACATTGTGTAAACTACCAAGCTATCTTCAACTGTTTATTTGCAACATTCTACTTTTAGATTTTGATTTGCTTATCTCATAACATCTTTAATTAGTTGATTAAAAATTCAAATAACAGAATTTTATACTTATCAATTGCTTTATTCGCTTATAATATTATTCTCTCATTAATTAATTGTCTTGTTTTGGATACAAGATTCATATGCTCGTAATATTCGCTCCATTTATTTTTTTAATTATGTTCTTATTGATTATTTTAAAATCATAATAAAATGCATTTGTTGCATATGCCATTAAACTAATTATTGAGAAATAACTTAGGATAAAATAAATCAAGGAGAAAGCACAACCAAATAGTTTTGCAAGTTTGAAAATTTTCAATTTGATTACAAAATTCAATTAATTCCAACACCATATCACGGTTTTGAATTTATGTCACAGTACATAAAAGCAACGATTTTAATCACTACCATACTATAGAAGAATTGCAACTGTTTTAACTACTGCAATTCTATAATAACTCATTAAGGCAATGATACATAGCTCATTTTGATTTGTTGGTTGGGAGCTTAGGCTAACAACAAAGAGGTCTCGGGCTCGAGTCTTGTGTATACGTTGTGTGCGTGAGTTTGCCTTAATTGGCCTAAAATGTCCCAAATTAAGGCAACGATTTTAACTACTAAAATATTCTAGAAATACAACGATAAATCACTACTAAAGCCTGAATCAATTACAAAAGTTTTCAAACTGCTGTGAAATCCCTTTCCAGCAAATCAAACATAGCGGATTTGCAGCCGTTATTAAATCACTACAATAAATTTTATTACATTTTAAATTGCCACTATAGCTGAAAAAAAAAGCACTGCTAAAATTAATGTTTTATCAAAAGTATCGAAACAAAACAATTCATGATATATAAGCAAGCATATATTTCAACTCATAATTGAAGATCAACTTACATTCATCAAATACCAAAAGCAAACATAAAGAGTAGGTAATTTACTACATACACATGATATTATCTTAGAGCTAGACAAGCAGTGAGATTTAGGTAACAAGGAAAGTAACTCAATCCAACAGTATAAATGGGCCATAATAATTGACAAGGACTGAAGGGCAATCAATACTCCAAAGCTGCAGCTTCATTAGTTGATCCTGCAACATCAAAAATTAAGCATGGATGAAAAAAAAATCATTAATTTAATTACTTCAAAGAAATTAAATAATTAAAGGAAATGAGATATATGGTAGCAGAAGAGAAACAGATTAATTACTTGGAGCAATCAGTGGAAGGGCTGAGCTTGTAAGGAAGGGAGATGTTGCATTTGTCCGGAAGACCAGCGGCACGGCTGAGCTCATCATTGGAGGCTCCTGAAGCCAATGACTTGAGGCAGTTGCAGGCGGTCCGGCGATCATCCGTCGTCTTGGCCGCAGCTACAAGATTGCTTAGCCCATTGCAGCAACCCGGCGGCACGTCCCCACCGTTTTGTATATAGCTCAGGCATGGCAGTAAATCTAAGTCCACTTCCCCGCAGGTCATTCCGGTCGCCTTGATCGGCATTCTCGCCACCATTGCCACTGCCACTACTACTGCTATCACCGTCGTCATCGCTATACGAGCCATGCCTCGAGTAGACTGTTTTCACAGGCTTCTCTTATTTCACTAACTGGTTGGTTTGTTCGAATGATAATGGCTGTTCTTTACCTCTATTTATATGAGAAAAAAAATCGCTATTCACAAATTCTGAACATAATTAAACATTTTATATAATAATTATGCCGCGTAAGCATCAGCGTAGGCGTGTGGGCAGTCTCAGAAATAAATGAAAGGAAACGGTGTTTTCTGCTATGACGGAATTGGGTGGTGCTATTAGTAGAAAGTGATGGCGACAAAATCTTATTTTAGCATGCTTGAAAGAGAAAGCTTGCATGAAATTGTGGGCAACAACCATATTGCTTCGTATCGCTTTATTTGCTTAATTAATTATATAAACTTATTTCTATTTATTTTCTATGAATAGCTATAGATGTTATAAATATTATTGCATTCTAGAATATTCACGGGATAGAGAGATATAAAGTTTAGCGTCTTAGGTTTATACAAATATTAAACACATAGATAGATAAAAGAGTAGGGGTGTAGCGTTCATAAGAGTTGCCAAGATTTTTACGTGGAAAATTCAAAAAAGGAAGAAAAAAATCAAGAGGCTAATCTAGTTTCAATGAATCCACTAGTATTGATGATTGATTACAAATAATATCCCTCCCTGGAGGAGGGTGTTGGCTTAATGTAGCAAATACATATTGTATATTCCTTGTTACATGACAATTATTTTTAAAAGAGTGTTGACATGTTTGTTTGGCCAAAAAGACTGTAGCCGACAAACGATGTTATTCATTTGAGCGCTACTCAATGATGTTAACATGTATGGAGGACATTAGGAAAGTCCATAAATGATATTTAACATATTTGAGATTTTTTATCAGAGCATTAATTGCTCAATGGAGTTAACTTGTGGAAGAGGTCGAGAGAATCTACTAAGGATATTTGACCTATATGAGGTTGTTTGTCAATGTATTGCTAAATGAATTTAACTTGGGTGAAAGAGCTTGAGAGAATCTACCTAGGATGTTTGACATATCCGTGATTGTTTGTTAGAGAATTGCTCGATGACGTAACCTTTGTGGAAGAGGTCGAGAGAATCTCCCAAAAATGTTTAACCTATCTGAGGTTGTTAGTTAAAGTATTTCTTGATGACATTAACTTACATGAAAGAAGCTGAGAGAATCCATCAAGGATGTTTAACATATTTGAGGTTATTTGTTACAGCGTTGTCCGATGAAGCCAATCTATATAGAAGAGTCCGAGAGAATCCACGAATGAAGTTTGACATATTCAATGTTATTTGACAGAATAATGCTGATGAAATTAACCTTAGTGGTTGACGCCGAAAGAATCCACCATGGATTGATTATACTTTAATTAAGAGGGGGCGAATGCTGCATGTACCCCAAATCAAAGATGAAGATTGGTCTATTTTTATATTGTTGCTAACTTTTTGAGGTTGAGGTTAAGACCTTGTGTAAAGAGTAGAAGTCCAGCTAGGGATTATATAGAGCTTAAAATTTATTAAAAGCATCCATTCATTTACTGGGAGTTTTATGAAAAATGATTTCTCAAGATAGTATCTTAGATGTTGAAAGCATTGAAGGAATTTTCTTAGCCACAATTGCATTTGATGTTGCAATCAAGGTTACTCTCTAGTTTAAATTACTTCCTTGAATGTGATGCAACTCTGGATGATAATTGATGAGAGATAAAGCAATATATGTTTGTTGTTGCAGAGAGGTTACACTTAATATTGAATGGTTTTATTTAAACTTGATAGAAGATCACGATAAAGGGATGACCCTGCTTTAACCATGCTCAGGTCATTGATGTGAATGACCTTTTGATATTATAGTAAAAGTTTCCCCCAGTGAGGAATTCTTTCTCATAAATGGTGTCAAATTGTTGTGTCATAGAATATCAATGGTTGTAGAAAGATATAAAGTTTAGTGTCATAGTTTTGTATGAAGATTCAACACAGACAGATAAAATACTAGGGGTAGTATTCATAAGAGACACAATCATTGTGACGCTAAGAACCACCATTACAACATTGAAGGCTTTATAATATAGTAACTCTGGGATTGAAATACATCATAGTGATGTTGGGAAGTTAGGTACCGCGGTGTGGACCTCTAAAAGCCAGAAACCTGTGGACCTCCGAAAGAGCACCACGCAAATGGGCCAAGTGGAAGCGACAGATTGGACCATACATACGATTAACCATGGAGGATAGCGGCTATCGCCTATGCACCTCGATGGGTAATAATATATATGGCCTAATCACAATCACGAGTTCCCCCCACCCGATGCATCAGCTCAAAATGGGATTTATGCGATGGTGGACTTCAGTTTTTCACGGGCACAAGCCCCCGTGGTTAATTACATCCCAGGCCGGAGCCTGAGAAGACTCTCGATTAAGGATCATATATTATTCCTTCCAAAGTGGGAATGGCACATAGGGCTAAGGTTAGGAAGTCCTATCCAAAGAGAAGACAGGTCCAAATGGGTCAACCCTGATTGACCTGGTCAACCAGGTTGACTAAGGACCTGGGAGAGAGTGAAGAGCAACAGTGCCCAAGTATAGTGTCACCCAAAAAATGGTGAACAAGTAGTGGAGCCTTTTCCTGGCCTTACCCTGTGGTAAGGGTAGAGCCAAGGAGAGAACCAAGGTAAAGATCACCATAATGGTGAAAAAGAGGTAAAAAAAACTTCTCTCTTACACTACAGGAAAATCACCAATTTCCGGCAGCTTTTCGTCGGTCACGTTTCCGGCGGCTTTCCAGCGCTTTTCCAACGATTTTTTCTCACGGAATTTTTCGGCGGAATTTCCGGCTGCTTTTTCACTTTTCCGACGGCTTTAAAAAATTTATTAAAAATGAATAAAATTTTTACTATGTAAATGATTTAACAAAAATTAATTAAAACTTATATTAACTATTTAATTAATTTTCATTTTAAAATTATTTAGTTAGTTAATTGTTATTTTATATTTAATATTATTTTTTATTTAAAATTAATTAGTTTTATTTTAAAAAAAATTAAAAAATTAAAAAATTAATTGTTTTTCGGTCTGAATACACTTTAAATAAATACGCCATTTGAACCGCCAGAAAACCGCCGCTAAATTACAAAACCGCCGGAAAATGCCCAATTTCCACCGGAAATTGCCGCCGGAAATGAGTGATTTTCCTGTAGTGTTAGCCTTACCCCGTAGTGAGGGCAGAGCTGAAGAGAGAGTAAATGTCATCATGAGGGTGAAAAAGAGGTGAAGGGCTTCTCCCCTAGCCTTACCCTATGGTGAGGGAAGAGCCGAAGGGAAAACCAAAAGTAAAGTAGTAAAAGTAGACCGACCGTCTGCCTGACCATATTGAAATAGTAGAATGGAAGGTAAAGGGGGTCCCATCTCCTCCTGCTCATCTCAGAATAGTAGATTGGGGTGACTCACTATTCGCCTGACCAAATTGAAACATCAAATAAAGGAGTCACAAAATCTGGTGCCTACCTGATCACAACAGGACACTCAGGGAAAAAGGTGGTGAGGAGTACCTGCCAGGTGCTCTGTGAGGCTCTGTCGACCAAGTAAAACTAACTACATGCCTGACCGTATCAAAACAGCAGGGTAGAAGGTGAAAAGATCTCGTCTCCTCCTTATCCTTTAGAAGAGTGGATTGGGGTGACATAAATACTTCTATATGACCTCAGCAAAAGTAAATAAACCATGAAATGGAAACTTGCCTAGTCTTCAACAGGACATCTGAAGTAAAAGGGTGTTGAGGACTGCCTCCTAGGGACTCTGTCGGGCTCTCTCAACAGGTAAGTAAAGCCAACTACCAGTCTGACCATATCGGTCCAGCGGGGTAGAAGGTGAAAAGGATCTCACTCCTCCTGATCCTTTTGGAACATTGGATTGGGGTGACTCACTACTTCTGTCTGACCTCAGCAAGAAGCTCACAAGCCATGAAAATGGAAGCCTGCTTAATCTTTAACAGGTTAATCTTTAACAGGACATCCGAAGTAAAGAGGTGTTAATGAATACCCCCTAGAGACTCTGTCGTGCTCGCTCAACTGGTAAGTAAAACTAATTACCAGTCTGACAATATCTAGATAGCGGGGTAGAATGTGAAAAGGATTGTGCCTCTCCTGATCCTTTTGAAATAATGGATTGGGGTGACTCACTACTTCTGTCTAACCTCAACAAGAAGCTCATAAGCCACAAAAATGGAAGCATGCTTAGTCTTTAACAGAACATCCGGAGTAAATGAGTGTTAAGGAATGCCTTCTAGGGACTCTATCAGGCTCTCTTAACAGGTAAGTAAAATAAACTATCAGTCTGACCGTATCTGTATAGCAGGGTAGAAGGTGAAAAGAATCCAGCTCCTCTTGATCTTTTCAGAATTGTGGATTGGGGTGACTCACTACTTCTGTCTGACCTCAGTAAGAAGCTCATGAGCCACGAAAATGGAAGCCTGCTTAATCTTTAACAGGATATCCGGAGTAAAGAGAGGTGGTAAGGAATGCCTTCCAGGTGCTCTGGTTAGGCTTTTCTTAACCATGTAAGCTTCAACATCTGCTCGACCAGCTCAGTCTTGCAAATGATGAAGGGCTCAATATCCACTCAGTCATTTCAACTGAGTGAATAAAGGGTCGAGCTTTGATGCCTGCCTTATCACAACAGGACAATTAGGAGGAAAAAAGAATGGTGAGGAGTACCTTCCAGGGGCTCTATTAGGCTCTCCAAACCAAACAAGTAAGACCACCTACCTGTCTGTTAGTATCGAAACAGCAGGATAGGAGATAAAAGTCACCTCAACATCAGCCTGACACGGATCTGTATGGGGATGTGAGGGAGAAAAGAAAGGTATATGAAAGACTTCTAAGTGTAGAGCTATCTAAGGAATCATAAGTTAGCATTTCAGTAACCACATGGTAGATGACAAATCGTCGTGATCATGAGTTTCCAAATGCCGTCAGGATCTCTTAGGAACCCTAACCCTACACACAAATGGGAGGGAGCCATCAGAATGATGTCTCTCAAGAAAGCT